AAAGGTCGTACGTGGTACTGGCCAGGGATGCAGCCAGGGGGCCCAAGGTTTTTTTCAGGTTGTAACAGTAGCATTTTGCTGTAAGTAGGGCCCCAACAATGGCTTTAGCCTGGGGGGGGCTTCCCCCCTACAGTTGGCCCTGCAGGTGTCCATAGATCTGCTCTCCTTGTGGCTTCAGTCAGGGGAAGACTTACGTGGAAGGTAAACGACTGCCTGAGGTCGCCAAAATCTAGGGGCCCCACGAACACAGAATATATTGCATATAAGATAATATGATCATTTTAATTATAGTAACATGTCTGTTATATGCATTTTTAGTTTGCAGGATAGACAAAGTTGCCCTCTAGTCCCGCCTGCTTTGAGATTCGCGCCTCCCAGCTTTCCGTTCACACTGGAGTCTAGTGGTAGACAACCAGTCATTTCATTGGCAAGCTAACTGGGACAAGCATAAGAGGAAAACAGTGCAAAGACATAAGATATAAGACTGACATTACATCTCCTGTGTCTCTGATACGATCCTGCTAAAGTGGTAGACAAACTGTGAACCGATGTAGACAGAACACAATTAAATGAACGTATGCAAAAAAGTCAAGACTCAGGTATTGGCTATGCTAGGCTACTACACGGGTCCACGGCAAAAGAGGGGACAGTTATACTTAATAAATTTGGCCAATCTATCCGCTGGTGTGATACCCCCCTCCCTGATCTGCGAATTTTACCGACAGCACCCCCCTCCCACCCTGATCATTAAATTTCCCCGCTGGCTCCCTGTGCTTTGATTAATGTATTATAGATTTTCCATCATTGTTAAATTCCCTCACGTTTCTCTTTCAGCTCCAAAAAATGGCTTGAATGGCTCACTTAGGGAGCCCCCTACCCATGTCAGCCTAGGGCCCCGGGGAAGTTAGTTGGCCCCTGCTTGCAGATGCCCCTTTGGGATATACAGAGATGCACTATGTGGGGAGGAGGGCAAGCCCTAGAAGTAGTAACACGTTTCATGCGGGGAAGCAGCTGGAAGGAAACGGGAGCAGGAGGAGGTAAAGGCCAAACTCCGTAGAGACTCTGCGCCGGGGGTTTGTCATGGAGAGGTGCTGCTGAATCAGGAGGAGGACCACGTTTCTGCAGACCACGTTTCTGCAGACCACGTTTCTGCAGACCACGTTTCAGCAGACGCCCCAATAAGACAATAAGCTGCGGCTCCCTCCAATGGCAGTCGCTGGGTTTTAGTCCTTTGTTTAAACCCCGCCCCCCCATAGCAAGCTGCTCAGCTTGACCCCACCTCACAGTCAGGCCCAGATCTATAAACAACACAGTGCGGCGTTATAAACTTGAATGCTGCTTTGGAAGAGGACAGGGCTCGCGATCACAGTGCCAGGTGCTGAATATCTCAGGTCTGACATAAGGTGTCCCGTCCAATGTGAGGTCAGGCAAATAAAGAGGTCAGATGAAGTACGCATTCCTATCATTTACATTTACATTTACATTTACATTTATTTATTTAGCAGAAGCTTTTCTCCGAAGCGACGTCCAAGTTTAGTTCAGTGCAGCTGCAACCTTTTACAAAAAAACTTTCTATATATTTTTTTTTGCATAAGAACTTGCCTATTTATGTCCTCTAATTCACAAATCATCCAGTTTGAAAATAACAGGAAGTCAAATTATCTTATCTTCACCCGCACCTCTGCGCCTGCATCGCTATCATCATATAGCAGAGCCTCTCTTTGTGCGAGAAAAGAACATTGTGCTTGGGGAGTAATTAAAATTTAACTTTCCTTTTAAAGCTGTTACTTTTTATTAAGTAATTTATAAGCCATTTCAAAACACTGCTAAATATGAAAACAAATGCTAACGTTTAAGTTATTAGCTGACAGAGTAGCGTTTATGAGAATATTTACACCATATTGCATCGTTTAAAGGTGTTTCTCCTTTGTCCAGCAGGGGGCAGAGTTTTATTCCTCCCCGGAGCCAAAGTTTAACAGTTCCTTGCTTTGATGGCCACAGCTAATAGACGTTAGGATTACCGTCTTATTTATGCCAAGACCCTCCCTGTGGGGTGACATACTCTCCAAATAATTACTTCAATGAGGCAACATTGCAGCATGTGGCATCGGAATACTAGAGTTAGCCGTCCTGCCGTGGCCCTTGCTGAATTATGAATGCTGCCTTTCCACCAGCTTCTTGGATGATGTTTCTGGGCCTCGTGAGTTTCTTCACACCTTCGCTGGTCTTCCTCAGTCCTGTCCTTTTAAGGAAAGGCCCGAAAACACAGTTCACCATGGGTGTGAAATTCCACACTGGCCCCCATGTGTAATGCTGACAGCATGGCGATACAGTGATACATACACCTGTTCTTGAAAACCCTTCCAGTGTTTATAGGTGACTTTAGTATTGCTAACACTGCACATTTGAGGACGATGAAATGCACTCATTCAAACTGTCCAAACTATAGCAACAGGATAATTAAATTCCAATAATTATAATTAAGTAAATAAATTTCTACATAACAAAAAGTTTTAAAGGGTTAAAAAAAATTGCATTCAAATATTAAAATTAATATTTCAACTTCAATAATTCCACCGTTTTGGCTCACAGGATGCTACCCATTTTCACATATTTTGGGGATGTCCTAAAATTTAATGTTTTTGGAAAGATATACATAAGGTATTAGAAAGTATTTTAAACATTAAAACTGATTTCAGCTTTGAGGTACTTTATATGGGCACAGTGTCAATGGTTTCTTGGGAAGGGAAAAACAAATATATGTATAGAATAATTCTTGCTTCAAGTAAAAAAGCCATTACTAGATGCTGGTACAAACCTAATCCGCCACAAATGCAGGACTGAATTGATATTGTAAAAAGTCTGTTTATAATGGAGAAAATGACTTTCTGTATGAATAATCAAAAAGATATGTTTGTTGATTTTTGGTCCAAGTGGATCAAGTACATAACTCCTATTGAACCAAATGTTTTTTTGTTATAGAATCTAGAATCTATGTTTTATGTATGGGTATCATCTACACATCCCCATTATTTTGTAAATAGTTTTTTGTATAATTGAGAGATAACCCAAAGAGATATATTGATCTGTTATATGCCATGAAGAGCTTTTTGATAATATACAAGCTATAATTGTTGTAAAAGTGGCAAAAGTCATAGACAGATGTATTGGACTGTATCTCTTTTCAATAAAAATTTAAATAAAATAAAAAAATCCACCGTTTTCACTTTGACATACTTTGTATATGGTTTTTTTTAAGTTGAAGTTTATTACTTCAGCGATTATGGCTAGAAATAAATAGGCAAGTTAAAAGAACGTGACCTGCACTGCAAAGAAAAACTGGATCTGTCACAATAACTGCATCCCACGCTCGCAACGCACAGAAATATTGCTTTGTTTAGAACAGCGGTCACTAAGTTTTATTAAGCTGTCAATTAATCATGACAAAATATATCTTGACATTTCTAATTTTTTTGGACGATTTACTTGCAGGAATGGAATATAACATACAGTACTTAATTTTCTGGTCATAAGTACACTGCCAGCAATAATTATGACAAAATAATTTGACTTTTTAAAAAACAGTTCATAGACAATGGAAAATTAAATACCTGAGTGACAGATTCATTTGTTTAAGTGGAGTACTATTTATATATTGCGTTGAGGTGCCAACACAGCCAGCAGTTTAACTGTTTCATGTATAGCTTTAATAAAAAGGTTTTATAGCAGCCCAGTTAAGTTTAATTCTCTCCGGTGAAACAGATTACTGCATTTCTGGTGAAGTAATCAATGGAGTCCGCCAGGGCTGAGAATCAGACTTTAGACTGTAAGAGCCAATCATCTGAACTCAGCCAGGATTTCTGAAACCGCCTCTCGAACTGATCTTGAGATGAACTGGTTTAAATATTGTAGGAAACACAAGCATGCTTGAGGTTTGTACCTCAAGCATATAAACTGACACATAGTCATTTTCTAGAAGCTACTCCAGTAACAGGTCTCCTGCCATGTAACTTGCTGTGGGACCACAAAAAGGTGAAATGGACTGTAAGCAAAGTCCCATTCTTGCATCCAATCTATCTTCCAACCACTTAATTAGTGCAGGGTTGTGGGCTGGGGGCAGGGGGGAGGGGGGGAGATATTCCAGTCAGCATAGGCCACAAGACGGGGACAACCCTGGACAAGATGCCAATGGTGGGACGCCAGATTCTCACACAGTGAAAACCTCTGTTTCACAAAACTATTATCACAGCCTTATGTCGGAACTTTATATTAATGAGGAAATATACAACGTGGGGAAGTTTCTTTCTGGGAAATTCTTCACCCACTAGAAAAGCTGGTTTCAATACAAGCTTGCAGTGTGTGTTTATACTTTATAGGTCTTATCTGACACTACATCTGTCTCCCAACAGGCTACAAAAGCCTATTGCATCCCTATCTGATTATCTCCATGACAAGAACATGGTGCTAATGCTAATCATGGAATGTAACATCTCCCCCAGCAGTGACACGGAAGACGCGGCCAAAGTCACTGGTCAGTGGGGACTTAAACTCAAACCTTCTGGATGTGAGAAGCTTGGTTAATTAGGGCTTTAAACTTGTAACTGCATCACATCCATTGAAGATCATCGTAATGTATTGGAGTCAAATCATACAACTGGTAAAACATACTTTATGTTTTATATCATGCATATATGACAGAAGGTAATAATAACGATGGATGGAGGTTTGGATGGATGGATACTAAATCTTCGTCATAGCATCCACCGCGTGGCGTCACTGACAGCAAGGGTTAAAGTTCGATGAAGAAACGGCTGAAGGATCGTACCATATTGTAAATGAACATGGACAAAGGCTTTAGGGAGATATTACACTTGCATAATTCACTCTGAGATTTGTATTCTTAAAAAATGTAATGTTCAGGTGAATTTTTATTGAAGAGTACTCCTGCCTAATGCTACCTTGGTGCCCACGTTCACTGTCCCCCCCCCGTCTATCTGCACAGTGGTTCCGGCCGATTGTCTGTCTCACTCGGCGACGGCCGAGTTAATGATGTGCGGGAGCACGGAGTGGTATGTGATGGTTAAATTTATTACTATGAACGTGTTTTTTCATGTGTGATGTAGTTTAGTATTCGTGTGGTTACAGGATATAAGGCGCATTTTCCACATCCGAAAACAATTACGTAATATTAATAGCCCGATTTAAATATGCAGCGCTGATGCATGCTTGTATATTGGCCCAGTAATTGGTCTGTGTTGGTTTGGTCGTATGTACAGATGATGTGAAACATGTAATTTATGTTACATTGTAGCCACTCAGGATTACACTATTGGGAAGCGTAATGTTAAATGATTAGAGTCCCCTTTAATAGATTAAGCACGTCCAGTTTTATTGAAACTGTAAGATACCTTAGCGGTTAAGCCATGAAAACTCAAAATGGTAACTGAGAGGTATGGTAAATAATATTATTAAAAAAATGTATTTGCGAAAACAAACTCAATGCATCTCGTCATATCACAGATGTATAACTGGCCTGATACTCATTTTGGACCTTAATTTAGTTCGTAGAGTCCGCCCGCAGTCGCAGATATACTGTACAACATGTTGCCAACATTTACCTGTTACGTCCTGATCACATTGAAGCGCATTGTAACATTTCGGGGTTCATTGTAGAGATTATGGTGGCTGGGTGACGCGCATTGTGACACTAAGCTAATAGACGGAATAACCTAGACTGATATATACCAGTAGATATACTATTTCTGTCCCAAGTCAATAGATTAGGTCTTCAGTCTAAATCTCTGCATGGGGAATTATACTGTAACTTTCCAAAAATAATAACCAATGCGTCTTAATAGCTTGTTCAGATTAGGTTGAAAACTGCATAACCCATAAAAAAGGGTAGGGATTTATAACAGGATCACTCCAATGCTTTAATGAAAATGATGGTTATCTATTTTTAAATCAGATATATTTCAGCAAAAAACGGTTAACTACACAAATGGCTGTCATTTTCAATCCACTCTGAGAACTGGTGAAAATTATTTTAAACTGTTCCACAAGGAACAACATGAAATTAAAAGGTTAGTTACTGTTTGTATTTGCCATCATTTCAAATTTGATCTCCTTTTTATGTCAGATGTAATTCAAAGCAGTTCCCGAAACAAGATTTTTAGCAAAATGGTTTAATTACGGCCATTTTTTTGTATAGTTTGGGCTGTGATCCTCCGTTCTTGGATCTTCCACATGTGGCTTGGAAAAGGTTCTCTCCTCATTCCTGGTGTTTCATGGGAATCGTGTCCGGCGGCCAAGAAGCATGTTTTATTTGCCTGTTATTGTATTCCCTTCCATGTGGTTTGTGTTTAATTAGACTCCGTGGCCATGAAAAATGTTAAGAAGCAAATTCACCAGATATGTAGTTAATAATATCAGCCTGTGTTATTTTAACTTGGATGCAATGTTTGTTTTTGTTTCCCTCCATTCTGTTTCAGGTTGGCAATGAAATGCAGCAAAAGTTAGGTGACAGGAAACTGCTCCTGTGCAAAGATGTGGCGCCCCCTAGTGGTGTGGCCTTCCTGCAGCTGCCGTTCCGCTGTCCCCGGTGCGGGGAGCGCCAGCGGCTCCGGAGCCTGTCATCGCTCAGGGCCCACCTGGATCACCAGCCTGCTTACCACACAGTGCACCGCCTCTGCTCATCGTCTGCCTGGGATCCCGTCGATGGCCAGGGGGGGCGCAAGAGGGCCGGCGTGGCGGGTTGCACCGATAGGTGCCAGAGCTCAGAGCCCAGAGGTATAGCGGAATCCGCGGGGAAGGCTGGGACGTTGAAGGAGGGCACTGTAGCGGAGCAGGGAGAGGAGCAGCCCGGCGTGGGAAGTGACAGCAGCACGCTCAGCTACCGTCTGGCCCAGATGGTGCCCATGGAGGTGCGCGCCCCCTCCAGGTTGGAGGAGGCCCTGCGGGCGGCGAACGGCACCATGATGCGGCGGCTGCAGCGGCTGAGCACAGACCTGGCGCAGGTGGACGTGGAGCTACTGCGCGCACACGCTCGCTTCCGCCACCTGGCGCGTGAGAAGCAGCAGGTGTCGGACCGAGAGAGGGCGCTGTGCCGGCAGGTGGACACGGCCGTCATGGAGATCGGCCGGCTGCGAGAGCGGCTCTCCCTGTCCGAGCAGGAGCTGGAGAAGAAGGAGCTGTGAGGCCCATTTGCTTTCTAAGCTGTCTGGGACGTGCCCTGCTCTGTGAATCGTTCACAGTCTCTATGCACCGAGGCAGACAGCCAACTTTACTTAGGCTAACTTTACTTAGACGTCCAGTAATTACTTCAAAGGAGTATTTATCACTCATTCACTAAAATTTGTGTGTTATGCTGCCCAGATCAGGAATGAGAATTTCAGGGTTCAGAACATGTGGTCACATAAATCACTTTAACATCCCTTTATGGGGTCGTTGGTGCCACTGTCCGTTTAAATGCGCTGCCATAATCACACTTCACAGCCACCCGATTCTGAGCAAGGCTCTCTATGATCTCCAGAAAACCCATTTAACTTTCTGGTGCCTTGAGAACAGAAAAAAAAATGCTGTGACCCCCCCAGTTTTTTTTCTTCTCATTGCAGAGAAAAAGTCTCTTGTCTGCATTCCGGCAACAAAAATGGCATTGAAAGTATGTCCTCCAAGACGGCGTGACTTCTCGAGGGTGGCTGTAATTTGGTGACGGCGAGTCTTTCATAAAGCTTTGGCAGCACATCTAAGCAACACTGAGAAGTAACAGTCAGGCCCTTTCGCGGTGCTTTAACGGGCCGACCCCCCGGCCTCGCCCGCCCGTCCCAGCCCGGTCCCTCCTTCCGCTAACTCTCGTTCATTGTCAATTGTTTGCAGGGAAGTTATCTCGATTCATAATTTTCTGGAGGCCGCCACTCAACATGAGATGTGTGGGAAAGTTCGCCTGCAGAACTTCATTGAGAACCTCTTGCAACGCATCTCTCTGGCCGAGCGACTCCTGGAGTATTACCACAGCCCCTCGAACCTGCGACACTGCAGGAATTACATGGTCAGCTATCAAACCATCCTGTCAGGGAGAGCTACAGTAACCTTTCATTTCCTGCCATGCCTAACAACTGAAAAGCCACGTATGCATAATATGAACTGATTTAACTGAATTAAAAAATGTTTAATTAATTGCCCCCTTTTCAGAGAATGCCTTAGGCTAAAACCAGAGGTTCAAGCATAGTGAGTAAAAATTTCCAACGTTTTGTTAAGCTAACAAAAAATAGCACATTAGTGGACTTGCGTCATTTTCGCTAAATCAGTTAATCGCCTGATTTGTCAAGCTTGTGCACCTGTTTCCACCTGTTTACAAAAGATAAGAAACAAAAATAACAAATATAACCCCTGGTGTTTGTTGTGCTTGTAAATTGCAGCCATATATTCCAGCAACACCAGCTGTAACTCTATGCCAGGCGTTTCAAAGGATCAGTTATCAGTATCACATCTGACCGTTTTGCCACAAGGTGTAGTTATTACGTCCTGCTTTGTTTAACAGTTGTATGTATGTAAAAAGAAATTCGTTTGGATGAAGTGATCCTCTGTCAATAGTAGTTATTGTTGTTTTTTTTTATTTATTTTTAGATGTTCCAGCCTGTTGAAAACGGTCTTAGTGGAATGGCTGAAAGCAGGTTAGTGATTTCATTGTGTACGATGCACCTGAGATACCAGTATTGTTCTGAGTTAGTGTGACATTCCGTTGCAATATAACCATAACAGGCCTATAACTGGAAACTTAACCTATAAATATAATTCATGTTCTGTTGTATTACTCCTAAAGTTTGCTTGCTTTGCCATATTTGACAGCTCGCATGGAGTTTCACAGAGTTCAGTATTTCCAAAATTCTCAAGCTTAACTTCCCATGGAAAGTTTCCAGAAAATTTCCACCTCTTTGCAACCCTACCTCCCATGGAAAGTCTCTGGAGAGTTGGAATTTTCTTCCCCTTTGCAACCCTGTTCATAAACAATCCATCCATCGATCTTCCAACCGCTTATACAGTGCAGGGTATTTTGGAGCCTGGATCCTATCGCAGGCAGCACAGAACACAAGGCTGGGAATCACTATGGATGGGATGCTAGTCAATTCGAAGGCTTGCACACAACCATTCATGAATAATGGCCCTGTGAATACTGTGAGACAGTGATCCTTAATGCCTTCACTATCTGGTACTCCTGCTCTGCTGAGTGTCGCTTATCCTGAAGTATCTTTGCATCCTCCTATCGCGATAAACATAAAGCTTAGCCTCACGTATGGTGACTGGCATTTTAAAGGTGCCGTGATGCTTTCATGTGCTCTTCTTGGCAGAACAGAAACTCTTTCCCCACTGATGTGTTGGAGTTTTGTGATCGCAGGTCGCCTGGGTGTCCAGAGGTGCCCCCTGTCTACACGGAGGCCAAGGCTGTCGCCACCCAGAACGGAAGGTCTTTTCCAAACCCCTCCAGAGTGAGGCAGGGATCCAAGCAGAACTACTGTCAGTCGGGCCACACTTGAGGGGCGGGACACCTGGAAGCGTGTGGCGGAGGGGGGGTGAGGTGTTGGGGATCCACAGAGAGGACGTATGATTGGCTGTCGCTGTGCTGCTGTTGCTAACGAGGGTGTGAGGCCGTCCATACGTGGTTGCGTCTCTCTCACGGCGAGAAACTTTTGATAGCTGAGTCTTAAATGATGCCAAGCTAGTCATATGCGAGCTGCAGAATATTCCCTTGAAATGTGTCGCAGTATCTTGTGCAATGAGACAACAAATGTAGCTTCAGAGCAGATTGTCATCCTTTTAGCCAAAGGCAAGGTGTATTCACATCTGTTTATTTTTTCCTGTTTTTCATCCTGTTTAGAAACATGGGGGTGTAATGAAATTGATCTGTGTTTTCTTACCTTAAACCTAAATGCACTCACTCCCCCCAGACTATAGATTATTGCTTATGTTACCAAAGCAACTTCTGATTGACAGGATCAGTTTCCTTAATGTTATCTGGCCCCTTGTAGGATCTCTATGAGAGTATTGCCTCTCTCTTGAATATGGAAAGTCTTTTAACTGCTTTTTTCCTAAATTAGTCCTATACTGTAAGCTGTGAGGTGAAATATCCACTCAGAACGGTGGTTTGTACAGCGATTGTTACAGCCCTTTAAATTATCATTTGTACAGGTTATGCATACAGAGTGGTCAGTGATCATTTACAGCATTTTAAGAGAATGTGAAGGCAAACCGTGCTTCCAAAAGGATTTAGGAATGTAACGTTTTGTCATTGCAATCCTGTATTGTAGGCCTATTTGTACTTTACAGGCAAATCATGAGTGCTAAGCAATAATCCAGAAGCGCTGACGTGAACTTTTGTTAGACAGTTCAAAATCTTATCCATATTCAGCGTTTTTAAAATCACACTCGAGTGTGATGAGTGCTGTAACTCATAGATTGGCCGATGTTTACTGAATGTTTCTTCATTCAAATATGATACTGTGATACTATACTTAGATGTGGATTAGTCTGTGTCGTTCGTGATACGATATTCGTGCCTCTCCATTGTGCGAATTTTGTGCGGGTGTCATGCAGTAAATCGTTTGTACTACAAGTATTTTTAGAACGTTACCGCTTACATTACCCAAGTGCACGAAATGTAGATGTTTCGCTGAGGTGCCTGCCCTGCGATTATATGGTGTAATCTGTGTTGAGACAGAAACAAGCTGCACGAAACACTTTTTAAAATAAGGTATATTTTCACGGCGAAGAAATATATATATTTAAAAAAAAAACCATAAGAGCTGACAATCATTGCTTGAAGCAAAGCTGACTGCTGTAATGAGCATATGTATTCTTGTGTAGTATATCTAGACACGTGTATCGGCGTAATCTGCTGTCAGATGTAAAAGGAATAGTCACCGTGTATTGTGCTTAAGGTGGCTCATCAGTTGTTGTGCCTTCATCGAAAAAAACGCTATAGTCTGATACACTGTGTTAATCGCGATGCTGTGAAGTTCGTGCAATTGTGACATATCATAAAGAATAAACACTCTACCTGATCAACCCAGCGGTGCCAGTGGCAAAAAAATCATTATTCTATCATTAACAAAGAAAACTCACCACTGCTTTTTACTAAAGGTGAAAAGAAGCGCCTCTCATTCAAGTAGTTCTCCCGATTTAACTTAGTCATTTGGCTTTATGTTGTGTCTTACGATTGACCTACCTGGGAGAAATTTTAGTGTTTTTCCACTTGCATGTAAAATTGTTTAAGAAAGGATTTGCTACCAGGTATGTGCACGACATTTTAATACATCTAACATATTCTGGTGGTATTCTATTGTCAGGCGAAATGTATAGATAAAAGACGAGTGCCGAAGGTTTGCTGCTTTTTATCGAAAGCACTTCAAATCACTTTTGGGACAAGGACTCGGCGAACGAGACGCCGAAGACGCGCGGCGGCTCTCGCGGCCCCTGCGTCATCGTGCCGTCGCTCGTGCTCGCATTTACGTCACCCATTGTCCGGCGCTCCTGCTGCAGCCCGCCTGAAGTGCAGGATGGGCAGCGCGCGACCCGCGCACAAGCTCTCAGCGAGGGCGATACGTCACACTTGTGCAAAGGCTCTTCCTCAAAGTGTAGGTGTCGGTGTGTTTTCTAATAAACAGCGAGTCCCTGACCTCATTTAATGTAGGTGGGTTGATTGTGTTTACCGGCTGAACTAATTATTTTTGTGAGGGGGATTCTACAATTTCACCGCGGCAGGTGTACTTGGATTTTAAAAAAAAATCAATATTTAAGAAAATGAAGCAAGAGACCTTCATCAAATAACATGATCCCCAGCAAAACATGCAATCAAGTATTCCTGTGAACAGGCAAAACATTTTAAGTATGACAAATCCCAGTAACTGACAAATACACATCCAATAAAATAGATAAAAGAAACATCCACTTTAAAAGTAGGAGCACAACAGCAGTAAACAAATCTCTGTTTCATTATAATTCAAAAACACTTAGGATTTAAGTAAATGCATTAGTATCATAAAAACCTAAGGTGATTGATCACGATTGCAGCTGAAAGCATTCATGTTTACTTGGAAGAAAAGTGCTGTGACAAGACTAGATGAAAGCCTAATTGTAGCTGTTCTTACAGTAGTCATTTCACTGTGGTGTAAAACTTTGATAACATGCTCAGCCAATCTTAATAAAAGGGAAAACAAACACTGAATACAACATACACTTATATTCATCCAATATACTCAAGTTTTCCAAATGGTGTGGGGTCATCCATATTCTAGCCACTTATCCCAGGGCACAAACAGAATGCATTTATTATCGTCGTTCAGGCAGCAAGCACAGTAATCTTCAGCCTGCACATAGGCCTATTCCATCTTCTTCTCATATTTGACAGGCGCATAAGCTTGCGGTCAGAACTAGCCATTTTTATGGCGCACTAGAGCAGTTTAAGGGCTTAACTGTGATATGATTACAGGCCACATGACTTGAGATTTTCAGTTTATTTATTGCTTTTATATGATGCTTTTATGCAAAGTGAGTTTCTGTAGAGGGAAGGGTTACACGGGTTTCTGTTTGCTACCTGGGATTCGAACCCATGACCTTTGTTTTTAGCACAATGCGCCGCTTGTTGAACCACAGGAGCAGATTCGACCGCACAATCTTCCGGATGCAGGCAGCCCTATACCATGGAGGTGTACAACGACAGAGCTGGTTGCCTGGAAGAATGTCAAATAGTATAAAATAGTTCTACAATGTCCGATCCCTAGATTCAGTGTTTTTGTTCGTGTTAAAAGTAGATACATTTTTACTCGAATATGAAAAGCTGGCAGAAATGACAGACATGTATTTTCATTGTCACTGCAAACTCCTCCTCGGCAATTTCTGGCCCTTAATGATGGAATTGTAGTTCACCTAAGTAACCACAAGGTGTCACTTGTTACTCACGCAAGAAGATCAGCTTGATCCAACGAAGTAACAAATATAATAAATCAATCATCTTTATAATAAATTCATTTTCACTTGTAATTGTTGGGTTCTGTGATTTGACACATTATTGATACATTTAGAATCCTGTTTGTTTTGCGATATTTACGATGACAAATGAAAATCCAATACTTTTACTTCAAGATCATTGCTCTTCATCTTAGTACGTTTTAAGTTCTAAATATTAAACTTAAGTTCCAAATAAACTGCAATCCAAGGAGCCTAAGTAAAGAAACTGAAAAACACATTCAAAGACGTGAAAGGTCAGAAACATAAATGATACTATTGTGCTTATACGGCAAAGTGCAAATGAGGTAGGCTAATGTCACAGAGAGAAGGATTCCACAAATAGTAATGGCAACATGAGACTATTAACATTTAATTCTTATTTTTCAAGCAGAAGGACCGGATGCAGGCTTTGTGAGTTGAAACACTCGTAATGTATAATTTAATCGCACAAAGGAAACAGCGCGCTCATTTCAGCCTCACAAAACATGAAAAGGCAAGTATGCCTACTCTTACACGGTTCTTCTCTGGCATCAAAATAATGTGGGAGTTTCAAGGAGAATAAATGTCTGTTTAGTCATGCTTGGTGCAGTTAGGGAGATGATCGGAAGGAAACGCACGAGTGCAAGACGATTAACCCTTGGCGTTATTTTTACGGAACCATTGTGATCAAACGTCAACTGTATGACGTACTAACCGTATTAAGCACAGCTAGCTAACACCTGCGTCTGTGTGTTTATTGTGGGTTGTGGTTCTGATTGTATAGAGGTCTCAAGCTTCTTATTATGCGAATATCATTCGCTATGAATATATGACAGACTAGTGACCAAAGGACTGAACTGTGAAACACAGCTGTCAGATAATTTCTTTTTGATGTAGGATACGTTGATAGCTGCAGTAAAATATGCATCTGCGTGAATATCTGTATCTATGCTAAATTTAATAAAAACAACAATAATAATACAATTTTTTGATGTTGTTTATTTATTATTGTCTTCTTTTCAATTTTTGTTATAAATACTCTGTAAAAGAAAGCAGTTCGAAATTAATCCATATATCAAAACAGTTTGAGGTCCAATCAAAAAAATAAATGCACTTTTATTCTAATTGAAGATGTAGTATTCCATGGATCTAATATGTAGCCCTAATCCATGTGAACGAAAAATTAAGTTTCCCTATTTGGCGTGTTATACTGAGACGTATTGGTATATTTGAATTAATAACTGTTCATAAGGTTTGATTGAATAGATTTTGACATTTTTTGTTATACTCAGCGGAGCCGAAGCCAAAGGGAGAAATTTCATATGGCTTCATTCATCCCCAAATAAATCCCCCCCCGAGGTAAATGTGTATTTTTTGGCTTAAGTCACGAATAACTTTTTGTATGATATATATGTTTACCACCCCAGTAAAGACTCTGTTCCCCTATCCATTCATCTCTAAATACGCCCCTGGCTTTACTAACATTACGCGCAGGCTTTCAGTACTTACTTCAATTACCCTATTTGTCCACTTGGGGGCACTACTGTACAAACAAATGGCATTGAAAGTGCTTGAACTGTAAACGCAGCGTCTGTGTCAGAAAACATAATGAACAGACTGGGCTATATGTATGCCTATGTATGTGTTAAAGCCACGGTGAGATGTGTATACTGGCCACATTAAGAAATACAATGTATGTATGTCTGAAACAGAAATTCAAGGTAAAACTGTCCAACACTGGACACATGGACAATGAAACTAATGGGTAAGGAGAAGACTGGAAAGGAGTGGTGATCCTGAAAGGCACGTTAACAGCTGCATGTGAGGAGCTTCATGGGGGCCTAATAATTTATGACTCCTAATATTGGGCCAGAGTCTTCTGAGATGGGACAGAGTCTTTGTGACTCTGAGACAACGTGCTCAGTACATAACTCCCAGTAGTCTATATGTCTTACTGTGAAGTGCATGTAAGAAAAGGCACCTTGGATCTCCTCAACATTCCAACTTTCCACTCAACAATAAATGTGTAGGCTTGTTATTGAAGGGGAGTTCACAAGAGTTGTAGCCTTTCAGTATTCCCCCCCCCCCCCCCCCTTCCATTTCCCCAGGAAAGCTTGGGCGCTTAAAAATCACTAGGCATTAATGACCGTGCCGTGGATAAAATGAACCCCCCCCCTCCCCCAAATCCTTGCAAACGAACAGACGACAAGAGTTCGCCCCAGTGTGCAAAACGCCGCCTCTGAGCCTTGTGGTGAACGAGTGGCATGATGCTCGCGCCGTAGGTCTTAGCGAAAGCCGTGGCCAGGACACTCGGGGACACAGCTGATTAAACAAAACGCACAACGGGGGACAGGGACCCACGTCGGACAGGCACGCTCAGAGTCTGCTTTCCAGCACAGTGACATAACAGAGCGGGACTCTAGGTTGACTTCATGGTGAACCTCCTTACCTTATAGGAGACGTCCACCTCCTTCATTGTCCCCCTGTAAAGAAAAAGATCAATTTGCAGGAGACTAGAATTGATACTTTGCCATTTGCACGAGTACTTTGTAATTCTTCTTTTCGAATATCCCATCTTTCTCTCCTTTGAGACAGACCCACGCACACACACATACACACACACACCAGACACATAGCCACGGACAAATCAAGGACTTGAACCCTCCCAAAAGTTAGTCCGTCCCCCCCAGCAGGCACATTTTACCAAAGTGGGATCCCCTTCCCATCCCCAGCTAACAATTTTTACCAAGGGAAAGTCCCCGATCAGTGAAATCTACTGAGGGGGTAGAATTCTTTATAACTGCAGGCCTGAAATATGCAGTTGAGGGGGAAGTTTGGGGTCTAAATACAGGGTTCGCCATTTATGCACCCCAGGGCAATTCCAAGAGATAAGGGCCTGGACAATTTTTTCAAGGATTTCAGGGATTCGAACCAACTACCTTCTGGTCACACCATCCTGTAGTGTTCAGCGTTTTAGTTTATGATCAAATCCCCAGGCCTGAATGCTGTGTGACCAAGAGCTGACTCACATGTGGCCGACCCTCTCCACCAGTGGTTGTGCCCGCTCCTGACTCCCAATAGCAG